AAAAAGAGAAAAAAGTAAAAGGAAATGGATTAGAAATAAAAGGGTCGTACGTGCACTGAAGTTTGTATTTTTTACTGAAGTGCCCAAGGAAGTAATTTACAATTCTGAAAAGTTAGAGACGTTCTCACAGAGGATGAAATACATGCATTTTATAAAATCATTATAATAATAGAAAATAATAAATTATTACAATTACAATGGAAATGTGAAGGACGCTATATCAGATAGGGTTTTAAGACACTATTAAGGAAAAGTTTTCTTAATCATGGCATTTCTTTCCTAATAATAAGTGAGATATCGAATGAAATTTACCATAAAAATGGCACATAGATATTAACGAATGCAAGTGAAATAAAATTTATTGCTGTTTGCAAGAATTCCGTAAGTCCAAAACCAACTGTGCATCAAGCATCTTTCAATCTGCAAATTATTTGCGTCTCTTTTTTCATTTCATAAGTTCATTAGTTTGGGGCTCCGCGTTTTTTTAGCGTTTCAGATTTTACGTTTCTGGTATCTAGAGAAGCTTAAGTAATATCTTTCAAACTCTGCTAGACTGATAAGAGAGTTATCTTTCTACTCTAAATTTAGATTACAAAGTCTTAAGAAGGTTAACATAACCTTTCTACAAATAAAACAACTCTTTAAATTAACAGAAGGCACCACTTGTGATATAAAATGTGACACTGATGCTCAAGGGTATTTAAAATAACATAAGCTGGCTAAAGTAATTAACGACGCGTTTTTAATGTCTGCCAGCCAAATGGCTCAAAGCCGGAAAAAAGTTGGAAGTGCTGGCAACAGGCGTAACTGCAAACAAGATTGCGAAAAGCTCTAAAACATCATTCAAACCCTTGATTTAAGTACACAGAAAATAAATTTGCATTTTGGTGAGGATACAGAAGAAAGAAGTTAAAATAAAGTTTCAAATCATAAGAACTGGTTAATTAACATAAAATCCCACAAGCTTTTCTTTGCCAGAAATTGCAATTCTTATTTTATTATAGCTTCTTTTACAACGTAACAGCTGCAATTGAACAGTTATCAGTCTGAAGACTGAAATATAAGGTATTCATAGAAGGAGCAAGTTCGAAATTGATCAGCACATTTTTAACATTGCCAGCATTGATTTATAACTTTTGTTATCTTGCAAGGTATTTTCTCCCTTCTTATCATGTGCATTTGTGGTGTAGTTTGAAACACGTCAAGCTACCATCGGAACATCGGGAGTTTTAATCCCAGAATCGGCAATTTTTCATGTTTTCCGCCTCAAAATCCTATGATGGCTACAGTGGTACCCGAACTAAAAAAAGTAGGCGACAATTGGTCATCTCCAGTATTTGGCGATTCAGTCCCCTCCTGCCTTGTCCCTCTGAAGAATGTAAGGTATTTCATTGCTCCTAACCCCGTGCCACGTGCCTTCGTAGTGTAATTGGAAAGCAAGTCCGGCTAGCTGTAGGAGGTTCAGAATTCGAATCCTAGCGAATGGACTGGACATTTTTCATGTCTCATTCTACAAAGTATCTAACGACTAATGCTCTCTGCAACCTACCATCACGGCGATTAATTGAGTAATTATTTTAAAGTTTAGACGAGCGATTCTACAAAAGATGCAAAGTCTTATAATCCTTAAACTCATTGCAAAAGCTATTTTAATAGTCTTGACATAGAATTTCTATCCCAAGACGGTTCGTAAATTTCATGCGATCTTTGTGAATGCTATGGAAGGAAAGAATGGGAATATTTAGCTTCATCAAGGGCTAACTATCATATATTACCTTGTTTTATGAAATTTGAGTTATTTTGTTTTCGAGGTCTCGTGATATCATACCTTTCAGGTACAGGTTCCAGCTAGGCCAGCACCTGTGTAGTGCCATATGTGAATACTTGTAATACTAAATAATACTTGGTCTAAATAATACTTAAAGTAATACTAAATAATACTTAGAGTAAAATTTGATCTAGTTAACATTCCAACAGAAAACACCCGGGAAGCTCGAGAATTTGCCACCCCTCTACCCCTACCAGTAAACTCTCGGCTTGTCTTGTATTCTGAGTGTCCTCTTGCCGCACAGACACTACATGCTTACAAACACCCATGCTTTCTCTAGAATTAAAACACAGGTGTTTGGGTACGACAGTTGGCGTCACTAACCACTATACCGGCTGGGCGGCTCACATGCCTAGCAATATCTTTCTTAGGCAGTTAGGATGATGTCAAGTCGAAGTTTTGGAGAAGAAACAACAAATATTTCAGAACTAAAGAGAGGAATTTAACGACCACTTCGAGCAATTGACGAAGACATTTGTGAAAAGGTCATCGTGCACTTCATACAGACAGAGCAATTGCCTTTGGAAAAATGTATAGGTGGGCATTATGTCAGGTACTGTGTTTCAGTATTAAACCGTAGTGCATATAAAAGGAAATAAAATAAAAACTTTGATTTTTTACTCAGCTTTGACTGATTTCTTGTATTTTCAAAACTTGTTCAATTTGTGAAGCTCCCTGTACCACGATATTCTTGAGCTCCTTTTTCATTCAATACGACATCTGTACGTTATATTAACATTTTATTTGAATGATTGTAAGGCATATTTAAATTTTATAGCAGTTATTTTTAATTTCGAAGCCCTCTCCTTTCACCTCTTGTTTCCCACTTACACCAGAATGAGGTTTTAGTATCGCGTTGAATGTAAATGGAGTACAAATATTTAAGGAGGGTTCAGCTTAATTCAGTACTTCAGTAGGAGAGCTTAGGAGTCCTTAGTGGCACGTGTTTGCTTTCAGGCTACTTCGCTATTAAACCTACTACGCGTGGCCGTATTGTACGTGCCTGTTGATGATCGCCAGCAAAGTTAATTTAAGACCCAACTACATTAGGTCTTTGTACCTAGCTTCGGCTAAGTCAGTTTAGTTTAGCATTAGTTTAATTTCTTATTTTCTTATCTTTATACGCTCGAGAAGGGGCCGTCTGTGCATATTTCTTTGAGTGAATAAAGGGTACTTTAACCTCATTTTTAGACTTTGTCGTTATATACGTGAACCCAGGGATAAGTCGCTTCACAGTTCACTAGGTTCCTTTACGTTCAGAATAGTCCAAGTAGTGAGGAACATTGCATGATAATTTTCATATTATGGCGCTAATTTCAAGCTTATTTAGTTTTTATTTCAAGCTGGAAACTCTATTTCAATCGGAAATAAATAACTGAATGCAATATAAAATGCATACATAGGATTTTCTTATGCCAGCACTCTAAAAAATATATTTAGCTCATTGAAACTTTCATTATTCATGAGAAGACCATCTTGCAAATCCAGGAAAATTTTTGATATCAGAGCTTAAATTGCTCCGGAGTCCAGCGGAGCCCAAATAAGAAGATTCCTGCATTTTTAATGTAACCGAACAGCAATAATCTGATTTCGGAAATTTTATTTTTAATATTAAAATTATATAAAAATCGATTCAAACTTCTGAATGTATGCTTCTCTTTCCTTGGAAAACAAACTCTTGCATGGAGATTGAGTCTTTTAAGGACAGATTAGCCCCCAACCACATGTCAAATGCTTATTCTCCAGTGAATTCTGCAGTACAACGAATTTATGACAGCTGGTAAATTTTTCGTTAAAACGAAGGTGTCTTCCTTCGGAAAAAACCACCTGCAAAGTTTTTGGAACAACATAACCAAAGTCGGGGGATGAAACTTGTCCCTTGTTACTAGCTAGAATTATATTGAAAGCAGATGGTGCTCAGAAAATGTTGGACTCCTCCTTTTCTTTTCATACTTGCAAGGTTATACGTTAAACTGTTCTCTATATTCTTTTACTGTGTACCAGTGTCCTCTTTATTTTCATTAGTGCCGCTTTAACCATTTTAACAATTTTTATTGGTGTGCTGGAAAAAGAATGGTCTTTACATCTATCATTCCTTGAAGTAGTAAATTATATTCAGAGCTTCAACCGGTTGAGCTATTTCTTATTTTTTGTGTGAAACTGTGATTCCAACCGAAATCCCAAATAAGTCAATTTCCAGTACTTTATTTTGTTATTTAATTATTTACCACTTATTTAATAGCTTATAATATTTTTATTTATCTCTTTACAATTTATTAAATTTTAATATTAATTGTTTCATTATTCCGATCCATAATTATTTAATTTTAATAGTTAATAACTAATTATTTTACTAGTCATTTTATTTATTTATTTTTATTCTTCTTTCCTGACAGTATTTCATAAGGCTCTGGCTCTTCCAATTTCATAAATTAAGCACTGGTCAATATCTGGTGCTAAGTGTACTATTTACCGTTAAATTAGAGCGTACGTTTAATTTATGTAAAAAGCTATGTAATTTCAGTATTATTTTGGTTACCTTTATATGAAGATGATATTATTTTGCAATACAAATAAAAGTACTAGTTAAATTTTACAAATTTTGTTAAAGTTAGATTATAGTTTTCTTAATTACCTTCATTTGTTGTCCCGTGCAGAAGAAATTTGTGTAGTGAGTCATTTATACGTTTCATTGCAAGTGGATGGGAGTACTGAACATTTTATCTGTTTAATAACATATTTATAATTGCGAAGTTTTATTCATTTGGATATTATTTTGAAGGCTTGTTGTAAAACCTCTAACACAAACTTGCAGCATGCAATGTTATCCTAATTGCATCTTTCTGTCTTATTGAAAATACAGCCAATCCACTTAACAGCGTAATACCTGGAAAGACGTTAATCCGTCGTTAATAGTTAAAAAAAGGGGAGGAAAATTTCCCGTATTATAATTAACAATTCTATTCGCAATTTACCGATATTTTTAAGTTGCCTACGCTGAAGAATAAATTCATTTAGTATGTAAACCGGTATTCAAACAAAAATAAGAAATTGTAAAATGTGGACGAGCTCAGTGAATTGATAAAGAATTATAAAATATACTTCAATGATTGTTGATAGAAATAAAGTTATTTAGAGTAGTTAAATCATAAAATGATAAAAGGAACGGAAATGGCTCGGCCGGGATTTGAACCCGGGACCTCTCGCACCCAAAGCGAGAATCATACCCCTAGACCATCGAGCCACGGTAGTTTACTCTTACACTTTCACAGTAGTTCAAGGAAGGTCAAGCAATGCAGGGAAAGATTTTACCAGGAGATAATGATGAAAACACGTTTTTCGACGAAGTATGAAATAAGAAAAGACACAGTTTTCTGAAATATAATGTTTTCGGATTAAAGACATATCATTTCGTATCATTGTTTTGTATTAATACCTGGGAAGACGTTAATCCGGGGGAAATTAAAGAAAAGGAAAAAGGAATTTCCCATTTTATAATTAACAAAAAACTCTATTCACAATTTACAGATATTTTTAAGTTGTCAACTCTAGAGAATAAATTCATTTGGCATATGTAGATCGTTATTCAGAGAAAAATAATTAACTGTGAAATATGTAACTCGTTGAAATGATAAAAATTTCTAAAACATCTTTTCGTGGTTAGTAAAAATAAAGTTAAATCATAAGGTGAGAAAATAATGAACGAGATGGGCTCAGCCGCGATTCGAACCCGGGACCTTTCGCACCCAAAGCGAGAATCATACCCCTAGACCACCGAGCCACGTTAAGAGAGTATTAATACTTTCAAAGTAGTTGTGGGATGAGAAAACATGCGGAGAGAGCTTTCCTCACAAGATATGATAAAAACACGTTTTGCGCTGAAGTGTGAAATAAGAAGAGACAATTTTCTGAAGTATGTCTGTTTCGTCTTAAAGCGTATGATTTAAAGTATGCCTTAGCTGAAGCTGGACCTAGATTTTTGCCACCTAGTACGGTGGCTGCAGGCGTGTAACCGAGATGCCCTGGATCTCCAGACAACCTCCCACGTCGCCGAATTAAAAGTAACGAAATACAGCAATTTTGAAAACTTCTGCAACCTGGAAATAATAATTTTCTTTTCTATTATTTTTTTTTATTAGAAGCAATTTTTAAATAGAACATTAACAGCGTAATACCTGAAGTCATTAATGGTTGGGCAATTGAAAAAAAGAGGAAAGCTCCCCATTAACAGCGTAATACCTGAAGTCATTAATGGTTGGGCAATTGAAAAAAAGAGGAATTTTCCATATTATAATTAACAATAAAATTCTATTAATAATTTAAACGTTTTTCTAAGTTGTTGACTGTGGAGAATAAATACATTAATATTGTTAATCGTTACACAGACAAAAATAAGAAACTGTAAAACATGGAAGTATAGATATCATTAGATATGAAAAAAAACTGTATTATCAGTGGATTCAAGAACAGTATTCTTCAAACGATGAATACCGTGCAGATAAGTCATTGAATTAAACTCGCGTAAAATGGTAGGTTAGAACTTTTTGTATTTGAGTTCATCACGCAGTAGTTGCTGTTATGCTACGAATTTTCCCCCTTATTTGTTTTTCGTAGACCATTTTTATTTATGCCGATGATATGCGGGGATAATTTCTTTATCCGTAGAAAAAAAAACGTAAGTATTTTTAGATATTCGCATTAACTGGATCTCTCTTGCTTCATTCCTGGTTAATTAACATTTGACAGTACATTTGACAGTACATTAATTAACATGACATGTCATTTTTGGAATTATTTTGAAGCCAAGAAGTATGAAAATTCAGCAATGCCCTCGCCGCTATTCGAATTCTTGACATCCTGATTACTAGCCAGATGTGCTTCCAATTATACTGCGAAGGGACGTGGTGAGGAATAAGGATATGGCGCGCGGTAAGGATTTCTCTTTCACTTAAACGTCGGCTGGGGAGAAGATAATCCAGCCGCAAACTCAGGTGGTGACGAATTACTATCCACCACATTTTCATTCAGGCACCACTTGTAGATTTATATTTTAAAGAAGCCCGGGAACATGAAGTATCAGTAAAATCTTCACCGATATTCGAACTCCGGACCTCTCAGTTTTCTAGTCGGACAGGCTCCAAATTACTCCACGAAGGCACGCAATAAGGAAGGAGGGAATTTTCTTACAAATGTAATAACAGAGTTATACTGACTTTAAAAGAAAGGCTTTAATTTGCATCATGTTGTAACAAGAATAATGTGTAATTACACGCTTATGTATAAAAAGATAAAAAAAGTATTATGTATCGAGATGTTTGGTATTAGAAACAACATTTTTATGCTTCAATTTTGATGCAAATATTGCTTATCAATTTCATTTTTTAATAAATTGTATTAATTACGTGTATCGTAAATTTAATTCCATATGTTACTCATCGTAAATTTAATTCCATATAAAAAAGAGGAAAGAAATATAATTTATTAAAATGGATTTGTTTTACAGTTATTTGATTGAATAGCTAAGTATTCGTTTTTGATTTAAAAATTAAATTGAGGGTATTATACTACATTGAATAATAGCACATATGAGAACTGATTATCCTTCAAATTACGAAGGATGAATTAAAGACCATTTGCTCCCAAGAAAAATAAATCGTTCCGCCTAGTATGGATAATGAATAACACAGCATAACACACAAACTGCCCTAAAATTGAACAGAAGTCAAAGTTAACAGATTGTAACTTCAGTAGAATTCTACAACATAGATCTATTTAAAATTTGAAACGTTTTTGCCAAACGATTTTGAAGTAAGTGTCTCCAGATTTACAATACTATTTAGATTGAAAATGATTGAGGAATATCTTATGCTTTAGTGAGACTTCAGTTAGACTTGCAACAGAGAAATGTTGTTGAAGTTTCATTCTGTGACAAAAGTATGTATTTTTAATTATTTCTACTCACTGGAACCAGTTTGTTAACTAATATATTTTTAGGTTTAATACGTAAATAAAAAATAATACATATATTTTTGATTTTGTACACAAATTTATATAGCTAAAAATATTATTGTTTAAAATAAGCTAAAATCATTTTCGTTCCTAAGGTTTATTTAAAAAATATTTTAATAACTTCTGTTATTTGAAAAGCCGAAAAGAGCGTTTTACTGGAAAATAACATCAAAGTAAGCATAAAAAATGAGGATTTCACCAAAGCTTTCTCTTTTGAACTTAATACTTCAAGCTGTCTCATATAAAATTAATTCCGCTACTCAAACTAATTCTTCAAACAGACCTCCGTAAAAATGAAGAATTCTCTGGAAATTTCTTTTCGAATAATAAAACGAAATGAATGCGTTTCCTTTGTTTAATGGGTTGTTGTCGGCGAATCCGTTGCTGTCAACGAACAATTGAACAACTTTGTTTACATGTCTGAATTGCCAAAGTTGGTATTATCATATGACAGTTTCCTAGAACTATATTCCTGTATTTTTAAGACTTAGGTTTTCCAAGAGTAGTATTTTAAATAAAATATTTTAAGATGTATGCTTCATATCAATCATTTACATGAGTTATGACATTTAGTAGTGAGAAATGTTACGTTAGAATGATTCTCAAAATATCATTCAAATGCCGGCACTTACAGTATTATTTTATTTTATTTTATATTTACATATTTTACATTTTATTCTATTTCATATAAATTTTTATTTTATATTAACTAAATTAAAAGTTTTATCGCATTATATTTTGCATAAAAATTTTATTACATTTAATTTAATTTCATATTTTACTCTCATTTATACAAAAGTTCAGGTCCTTAAAATTTTGATATAACATACAAATAAAAACTGAAAACACTAGATCTTAATACTTATTTTTATTTTATTTTATATTTACTTATTATATATGTTATTCTAATTCTATAATTTTATACTGAATTTCAGATTCTTAAAATTTTGATGTAACGTGCATACAGAAACAGATTTTTCAAGGTGCTTTTATATTAAATAATATTTTTATCTCACAGGTCTTCTCTTTTTGTATAGTAGTAATTACAAGTTATTCCATATGTTACAAAAGAGAACCAAAAGTATAATACATGAGATTAATTTCCTTTCAACTTAAATGTTAGTTTACTCATTCAGCTCAAAAAGGCAATCGACACACTAATTTGTGTAGTAGTTAGTGATGCTCACTGCTACGTATTTAGACCTTAAAAAGGCCTATTTGTTTGTTATACCGATGGTGTCTTTACAGAAGGGACATTTAAAATATATAGTAGGCTGAAATTCCTCTCGAGGGATTTATTAGCAGGGAAAGCATAGTGAGAGAGCCTTGGATCCCTCTGGCGATTCGCCTTAAAAATTGAGATGGAGGTATGCATATTGTACAGTCACATATAGCCTCAAGGCCCATGATAACGAAGATGAAATCTTGCGCTCCTCTCTGCGGCAAAATTTTTGCACGTGTTTTGGAATTATTGTCAAGCACGTCGTAACAACACCAAAGAAGTAATTAAAAAATGACAGGTTAAGTCTAGCAAAAGCGTTTGGCGTTATTCTGGTTTATAGGCAGGTCTAGAGTAAATACCAGTTAAGGAAATCTTAATATAATGAATATCGTTACGACATGAAAGGTTAATCGTGGTAATGAAATTTATGTCTAAACAATAATGGCGAAATTTAAGTAAGCAAGCTTTACAGAACAAACAGAACTGCTTTCTTAGAGCTGTTAAATATTTTTGTAAGCAGGAATCTTGGAAAAATCACCATGTCCTCAGCGTAAATCGAACCTCAGATCTTCCAATTATCACCTGAAGAGAACGACCACTTTACAGTAAGAATGCATAGTAAGAAAGCCTTTAAATTTACACACCTCCAATTCCCTTTCCACGTTCATTTTCCATATTTGGAGGGAAAGATCGCGAGATTTAATTGACCAAATCAAAATGGTGATGCTATATCCCCTATCAGATTTTAGTTTGGGCGCTATTATGAAATTATTAAGTACTTTTGTAAAAGGAATCTTGAAGTACCAACCATGTGCTACCTGAGGATTAATCCTTATGAAGGCTTATGAATAACTGGATAGACAAACCGCTGTATTATAAAGATACATCGACGAACGCCTTTAGCTCTTAATAGCATACAAAATACTCTAGTTTGCACAAGCAAAATTTAGCATTTCTTCTTTTTCAAAGTTCTCATGTTTCTTGTGCTGGCCAGGCTCATTTTATGGCCAGCC